AGGAGCTCCCAAGGGTGCCGCAGAACAGACGAGCTCTCTGGCACTGCTTTAGGTGAGCGCAGGGTGCAAGCCAGGAAACTGGACCCCAAGCAGCGGTTGGCATGGAATAACCCACTGGACCCCAGGAGCCGAGGAGGACTGCTCCCAGGGTGTCCGGGGCTAAGTCCTCACCAACGCAACTGGCAGGAAACCTCCACTGAGTTCAAAGTACACGCACGCTCTCGTTTCCTCATGGATCTGCTTAGTATGATTACTTCTTGCTATAAAGCTCTTTCTTACACATATGTGTGTCAATGGATTTGTTTCTCTAAAGTACCCAGACTAACACAAAAATGCACATACATACACGCACAAATATGCACACATACACACATACATACACACATACAAAATATACACACATACACATATTCATGCATATACATACACACCCACATTCACATAAACATGCACACACATATACACACATGCAGATACACACATGCATGCACATACTCAGATACCCACATACACATATATACATACTCACAAATATATATATATATACACACACACTCAGACACACGTGCACGTGAATGCACACACTCAGATACATGCATGCACACACATATATATATGCATACACACACATATAAACACACACACACACACACAAGTCAAGGAGCACTGCTACAAAGGCTCCAGGTCACACATGCATGGGCCCATTGCAAATGAAACGTGCATAAACGCATCTCTGCGGGCAGCGGACGGGTGGCTGCAGACACGCACTCTCAGCCACACAGGGGTCTGAGCCTCCTGGGGGCCCATCTAGAGCTGCTTCTGAGGGGACCGGCCCAGCTCATTCAGGTTCAAGCCGAGACATCAGCTCGGTAGGTTATGATGACTGGGAGGAGGGGTCACCCTGATAGATGTCTTCCAGGGACACAGGAAATCCTGGAGGTTTAGCATGAGGAGTTGTAAGGAAACGAAAAATATGTTTACTAATATCGGACTTTGGACTTGAGTTGGGGCGG